GTGTGTCTTCATCATTTGTTTTTATTAGTGGTCGCACTTGATTAAAATGAACTAATTAATTCAATGCTTTGTAAATAATTTGATTGAAAAAGCATCTATTATATTATTATATTACACTGTCATCTGATCGAAAAAGCATCTATTATATTATTATATTGCAGTGTCATCTGATCGTGTGTGTGTTTGTGTGTTTGTGCACCTGAGGCAGGTTAGTCTCTGTGTGTGCACTTTTTCTCTTTTGTGTAGTAATCAGTGATAATGATGGGATTATATTCCGCAAAACCCACACAGTCACAGGACAGGTTAGAGTTACATGACAAAAGAAAGACCTGACAAAACAACAACCTTTAACTAAGGACCATTCAAATGTGAAGTACCAGTGGGGGCCACACGGTGGCCGGGTGGTTAATGCCCTTGCCTTATAGTGAGCTCCCACGTGCAGAATTAGGTTGTCCTGATCTGTCCAGGGTGAAAGCCCACCCCCATGTGGTGACTGTAGATATGTTTTAATCCCATTCAGAATTTAAACTTTGAATGTTTCAGTGCAGGTGACAGGACTTCCTGTGCAGGTCAAACCTCCCTCATGAACCTTTATTATGACTGTCAGTACTGAGACCTGATTGGCCGCCTGTGTTGTTGTATTAATCATCAGCCGAAGCAGGCATCGTTACAGCGCCACACCCTTTAAATACCTTTTCGCAAATGAAGAATTTCCTGACATTCTCAGCTCAAATGTCTCTTTTTCGCTCCACTCTGATCTGGACCGGGATCAGAATACTGTTGAACTATAACAGGATTAAATGTAGAGGCCACGCCCTCCTTCACGACCACTGGGCAGAAACTCTCCTAAACTGTCCTTTCCCAAACTTCAGCTCAGACTGGGTGGTGTTCACTTTTATCAGGTTACTTCTGATCCGCTGCCAAACCATCGTAGTGTAAACTCTGAGGAATTCACACCGTCATTCTGAGAACAGTTTTTACACTGAGCTACAAAAGTGTTTTACAGGGAAGAAAATGGAATTAACAACTGGGTTAAACCCTCAAAGTCAACACAGAGATTTCTGAACATGAAGAACGCTTCCTGATAATTCAATAAAATGTAAACCTGTAGTTTGGTAACACTATTCAGTGTTTGTTGAGAAACAGAGAGGAAAATAATTATTTTCTGAGACAAATCTAACGGTATTTTATCATTAAGTTATATTTATTACCACATTCTTTACATTTTTAATTCAATAATAATATTACCTTTATAATATAATTACCTACAGTCCCACAGTTATCTTTTTCTATTTATTCTTCTATTTTATATTATATTTATATTATATTTTAATATCTTCAGTATTGTTTTTTGATTTATTTAAAAAAATGTATTTACCTTTTTGCGTTAACTTTTTTGATTCTTTTCTTCCTTCCCTCCCTCCCTCCTTCCTTCCTTCCTCCCTACAGTTTTCCATTCACACTTTCATTCACAGTGTTTTTTAATGCTTCTGACATTTTCTTCAAAAACGACTCTACTCTTATCTCAGTACTGTATATCAACATGTACTTCACTGGTGTGAGTGAAATGATTGAAACACCACGTGTCATTGGACACTCTTTGGAAATGTGATGGGTCAGATCATGTGATGGAGCGAGACAACAGTTAATGTCAGTCAGCGACAGTCTACTACTTGATACTTCATTGTACCAGGAGTGTTTTCTCAGAGATTTGATTCACTGATCACTGTATCGTGTGAAATCTAAACCGATCACAGATAAATGTGAAAAAGTAGATCACACTTCTCACGTGTTCATCATTTTCACAAAACAGCATTTATAACCTCGTTTTTACATGTTACTCCCCACAAAGACTTTTCTTGTATTTCTGCAGTTAATCTAGAACTGGCTGAGCGGTGAAAGCGGAGGATTAAGTCAAGTTAGGAGACACAAACTAAGTGAACGTGCAGCTCCTCCATCTCTGAGGTTATTTCTCCAGTGGTTACTCGAGCAGTTTCTGTCTTTTGTCACTGTTCCTCCAAAAGAGAATTGGCCAAATTCCTCCACCGCATGTACAATATGAGTGAAACATGAGACGAGGTAGACGGTGCAGCCTGCTCCTGCATTATAAGAAAAACATGGACGTCATCGCCCACTGCTGCAAGAACCGGTAGTGTGCAGCGCTTGGCACTTGGTTTTAGATGTTGGTCTATTAGGCCTACATCTATAACCATTGACATATGTGCAAAACATGAACTCTCTTCTAAATATTCAGCTGATCCTGATAGGACTGAATGAATCTAAGGCAGAAGATAGTAAGAGGAACACAAGATCAGTCTGGAGAGAATTTAATATTCTACAAACTATGTATGTAAAGTATGTATATATATGTAATAAATAAAAAATACTAGAGTTAGGTGGAAAATTGCTCAAGTAACAGAAACACATACAGTACATGTAAAATTTAGTCAAGTACAGTAAAGGTTTAAACAGCAAAAAAAATTTAGAACTAGGCTGAAATGACATGACAACAAAATATATAGTTTAGCCCAAAGATGTGTAGATGTAGGCCAGAAATCTAAATGGATAACAACAAAAAACTACAGTAAAGGTTTAAACAGCAAAAAAATTTCAAAGCAAAGAAATCTAAATGAATAACAACAAAAAACAAAAATTTTAAATGTTGGGCAAAATAATCAAATTCTAATTACATATGTATATGTGTGTGTGTGTATTTATAATATTGTACTGCCGCAGAAACAAATATAAAACACACTTTTTCAAATTAATCAAAAGTCCATTCGGAAATAATTGGTGGAAAAATAACCCGCTAAGACCATAATTGGTCCACATGCCTGAGTTTGGACATGTTTGATACAAAACAAAACCGTGATCAACCTTTTGCAAGAAAAAAAAAAACAAAGTTGACACAGACTGAAAAAACTCCTTCAATCTCTCAGTGAACACTGAGAGATTGAAGGAGTTTTTTATCATCAGTATAAGAAGAATTTAAACTGACGATAAGTTGAAGCTTTGTTTCACATTAATAAAAAAACGTTTCTTTTCTTTCAAGGTCATCTGCTCCGTCCCCTCTTCCCAGCAGACTCACCAGTTCAGGCAGGTAGAAAATATCCGGCGCTGTGGTGCAGATGCCCAGTCCACTGGGCAGACTCCCCATTGAATGAGCAGTGGTCGCAGCCATCTCAGCTCCACCTGTGGACTAACGGGGCAGCAGCAGGTGTCTCTCAGCCTTATACCCAGTTAGTGCACAAACCCGTTCTGCCACGGTCTAGGGTAAGAGATACCTCCACCCGAACAGCTCTGAACACAAAGACTCAGACACACCCACCAGTTCTCAGTACCTGAGGCCAGGTGAGCTGGTGACTGGAGAAAAGGCAAACAGCTGAGAACCAGGAGCTGTAGCTGTGGAGCAGAGAACTGCAGCGTATGTAGGAGAAAACAGAGGAGAGGACAAGTAAGGAGAGGGGGGAGGAGAGGAGAGGAGAAGGGGGGGGGATGTGGTGAAAGGAAAAGGGAAGTAAAGAGGAGAGAAGAAGTTTGTCTAACAGTACTTTGATTGTGGTCTCTCTCTCTCTCTCTCTCTCCCTCTCTCTCTCTCTCTCTCTCTCTCTAGTCTGGATCTGCTGCAGATTATTTTTTTTACAGGTACCCAAAAGGTTTTTTTTTTCTCCAACGGACTGATATTTAAAAAAAAACAACAACATCCACACTTTTATGACATAAAATTTTAATGGTGTTATAAAACGCCTCGTTGTGTGTCGAGGTAACAAGTTGAGTTGCTCAACCTTAACATGTGAACGACAAGAAAAAAATATTTGAAAATTTGAAATGAATAGTGTGAAATAAAATGAAATAATTTTAAATATGTACAGATTTAAAATTTCCCGGGGACTCGATGAGAACAGTGATGTCTTCAACAAGTACTATTACAATATCATTGTAAATATGTTAAAAAAAAAAAACAGGCTGTGAGAAATGAATCAGCTCCAAAATGGATTAATCATCAGCGGGATGTGGACCACGGTAACTAAGAGCAAGGTTTGTTATTAACTTATTAACTTATTGTGAACATTAATTAAAGAAATGTACCTTTAGTTTACTGATTTATTTTTGCCATCTAAGATCGATTTATCTACTATTGAAAAAGTGTGATCTTTATGGAATTTATATATTTTTTTCATTTATTTTTAATTGTGTAAGGTTTTGGGATCCTTAAAACTCAAGTATCAACATTTTATCAATAAAGTTCTGGTGAAGTTACTGTGAAGGAAGAAAAGAAGAAGAAACATCTGCTTTCTATAATTTTGGCACATTGATTTCTAACTACCTTTTCAAATGTATAAATATAAAAATCTGCTGACTCACTAATTGAAATCAGACGACAATGATGTCAATTGTAAAAAGTCATTAACGGTACTAAAGAACTTGCCGTGTTCATGTTGACCAACTGCTCATTTTTCATTAATGATTTGATTCAACTTTTTACTGCATTGATGAAAAAAAAAACAAAAAACATACTCCTTATCACTGAGCTGAATTCATGAAAACCACAAATGTCATTCTTTGTTTTTTTATTCCAACAGGAGTTCAGCCGTTGATTCGTTGATTCATTTTGTCTCCGTTTTGTCGCTCTTGGTTTTTCTTGGTCAGGTGTTGTGGTTTTAGGACCTCTTCCATCGGATGGCAGAGAAAATGGCGTGGAGGAAGTAAAGAAGCAGGGCCAGGTAGGACATCACCTGAAAACACATCACCTGAGTCATGACGGTGTTAATGGTTACCACTAGGGGGTGTAAGGAAACATTGATATGCTGAAATATCAAGAAACTTCCTTCATGATACCGTATCAATATTCCACGGCACTGACGACAATTAACAGCCAAATATTCATGGCAGGTAAATCGCAATATATCATATTGTCTTCATGGCAGGTAAATCGCAATATATCAATATATATAATATATAATATTGTCGCTCCTGTATGGTGATAGGTATCGTATCACCAGATTCTTGCCAATACACAGCCCTAGTTACCGCCAAGAAGACGGACCTACAGCTGTGGATTTTACCCACTATTCCCAGCTGAAAAAAATTGCTCAGTTTCGTACCACTGCAGCGATGTCCAGCCGATAGATTTTAAGACTTTCTGCTGTGGACAATATGTTGACAATAGCTGCTTTTTCAATGGTGACGATGGCCAAGGCCACAGACCCTCCGAGGTAGAAAACCGCAGCCACAAAATGATACCCAGCGTCCTGCAGAGGGAGACAGTGAGTGCAGAGGAGTTGAACGTCAGAATTTTTACAACATGAGGACGGACGTCGTCCTTGACCGACTGTGTAAAATCAAACTGAGCATCAAATGTTGGAGAAACACACCAACGAGGGCCAGACGCCGCTCTGATTGCCTCCACAGAGGAATATGAAGAACCAGAGTGTGGTGAAGACGAAGCAGAAGACAGACACGAACATCACCCAACCCTGAGGGTTGTCTGGGTTCACACGGGTCGATGCCACCAGGATCCACACCAAACCTCCAATCACCTGCAGGGGGAAGGGTGCACTTTTATCATACGTTCATTTAAATCAAAATTCTGTTGTCATACATCGATATTGATCGGCCGTCATTTGCTGCGTTTTCAGTTAGCATTTAGGTAAGATCGGCCGTCATTTGCTGCGTTTTCAGATAGGATTTTTGAGGTAGAGATTATTAAGATTAGAATTAGGGTTAATGTAAGGAGCCAGGGGAAGTGGCATGTGCTTGCAAAACACAAACACCAGCATGTGTGTGTGTGTGTGTGTGTGTGGTTTCTGTATTTCACCACCTTTGTCAAACACTCAGCTTGAAAGAGTTTTTTTTAGAATTTCATTAGAACGCCGCTCGCTGATAAGATTTACTGTCAAACAGTCGAGCACAAACTCTGTGTTTGTCGACTGACAAAACATGTTCCTACTTCTTTGTTCTTCACTGTTTAACTGTGCAACAAGACTTTCTCCCATATATATCTGTGACCGCAGACACCGGGAATAAGAACGTTTGTACTTTTATGAACTCATTCCACGTCTGCTTATTCAGTTCCAGCTCCGTTGTCTCCGTGTTTGATTGTAACACATGCTCTTCTCTGTTCTTACAGCTGCTGTGAAACAAGTCTTTGTGTGTTCATAAACACTGGCTCCAGGTGTGAGGAATCAACCACGCAGCCTGCAGCCCTCAGGTATCAGGTGAGGAGGAGCAGCAAACACTTCCATGTTCTTATTCAGATCTTAAGCCGCTCAGCTTCTGCAGGAGGGAATTTTCTCACGATGACATCAAATACTTCAAGTCACTCAGCTGTTGTATATTATGGGACATATTTAGGAATATTTATCTAATGTATTGAAAGATGCCGCACAAATATTTTTCACATTTTCACGAAACATTTGTATTCGAATGGGGTGTAGGAAAATATTGATACACTGTATTGTTGTCATGTCTATAGTATTGAGTATATCACAATATGTTGTATCGTTGCTCGTGTACGATTATACATATCGTATCGCCAGATTCTAGCCAATACACACCCCACCCACAAAAATGTTTTCATTGCTCCTTTTCTTCTCTTGTTCTATATAATTTTAGGAAAAACTGTCCTCTAATTTTATTTCCTCTTTTTTTCCTCTCTCTCTCTCTTTGTGTTCTATATAATTTTAGGAAAAACTGTTTTTCCTCTCTCTCTTTTTTGTTGATAGCTACGACTGGAAAACGCAACAAAATTAACCCTCAACGTATGCAGCACTGTCACTGCCTTCAAGAGTTTGACTGTGAGTAATACACCTTTGTCATGAAGCCAAGTATTATAGAATTCTTCCAAACCAGGTGAAGTGTACAGCACCAGATAACATTGTCGCTCAGCGCCATAATTACTGCTGAGTCTCCAAAACAAAAAGTTTCAGTTGCTAAAAAACTTGTTTGACTGACTCTGAGGTTTTGTTTCCTCCAAAACATCAGTGCAGTTTAGTCTTAGACCAAATAGCTGTAACTGCATTGAGCTACCCCTGCTGGACACCTTTAGTTTTCCTTTGACTACAAAAGCCTTGTGAGAACATACAATAAGTAAATAAATATAACATATATAAAATATGTATTTAAAAAAAATACATATTCTTTCCACATGCAAACAATGTGCCACGCCCATGCCATTGCTCCAACTCTCATATAACCCTTGGGACAGATTATTGTTTAAACGAGACATCATCAGTTTGTACATGCAAATTTCTCAGGGAACAATAATCCTGGCCAAAACTCAGGCAAACGGAGGAGTGACAGTTAGACTGGAGTTTCACTGTGAATGCTGAAGACTGAACCGTTTCATTTCTAGAAATGTTTGTACATTTCCTTTAAAACATGACATACATATGAACACTGGACATAATGTAGTAACTTGACGTTTCAGTGGTGGACCTTTTCTGCATCAAAAGTCGTTCACAGTGGTCTGTGAAGTTCCAGACTTTTATATAGTACAAGGAAGAGCTGGACCGCAGGCAGGACAGTTACATAGAAGCACACTGTGTTGAAGCCAGTATTTAAATATATTTCTGAGATAAGTGACATCAACACATGGCTCTAATGTTTTATTTCAAGCTTCCGTATTAATGTCACTTTTAAAGAAATGCAAATTCTTAGTTGTGCTTCACAAGTCGTTCACTGATTGGTCGAGATCACTGGTTGATAAACATGTAGAACCTGAAAACTTCAGTCACGCTTTGGTTTTGCAGGCATCGATTTCTAATTTTTTTACAATACGAATAATATTTTTAACGGCTGTGTTTGTCATGAAGTGAACTCTGGGATAAACACGTTTGAACTGTGAGCTGTTACATTAAAAACACTAAGCCTGTATGTCAATATTAGTCAAACAAGCAGCAGGTTGAGAAATCTGTACCCTGTGGTGACAGAAGTCAGTAAACAGGAAAAGGAGGAGTTCATTTCTGACAGAAAAGATTTTAACTTTTTAAAACGTTTTTAATTTAAACACTCAACTACAACATTGTAAAGTACGGACAAAAAGTCTCAACTACAACATTGTAAAGTACGGACCAAACGTCAGAGGAATCTTATCTCTGTCGATCCAGGACTTCACACCTGCTTGGAGGAATTTCCTTGAAGAAGGAAATATCCTCCAAGCAGGAAGCTCTGCAATGTGAAAACCACTGCTAATGGTGCAGTGAGGTCTGTGGAAATACTGTGCCAAGAAGTGGAAGTCATAATGGTGCAGTGAGGTCTGTGGAAATATATACTGTGCCAAGAAGTGGAAGTCGAAAAGTATCAGGAAAGAAGTGAATCATTAAGTATTGAAGACCTAAAGAGAAAACACATTTTTTTTAAACCAATTTTCTCTCTCACTCACCCTTCAACACTCCCATACACACACTCACTTATACACAATATATCCTAACCCTGCACTAATGAAAGGTGTGAATGCGAGTGTGAATGGTTGTTCTTCTACCTGTGTGATGGAACTGTCCAGGGTGTGGCGCTATCCTTGCGTGGCGATTGCTTAGAATTGGTTTCAATCCTTTGATTTTTTTTTTTTTTTTGTAAAACTGTACTTTAGTTTGGTCCTTGGACCAGGTGACAGAGTGGGCTGTGACCTGGTGTCACAGAAAAACATTGATTAAAAAAAGTCTTAGACCTTTTTGACCTACCTTTATACAGTCGCCTAAATATATTTTTCGTCACCTTATTGTGGTGCCATAAGGAAATAATTCAGAGATGAATCCTCCCTCATTCATGCACTTGATTTTGTCTAATTGTTTGAAGTAAAGGCCCGTCGTGACCTGCGGTTTGTTTTTCAGTGATTGTTTGTTTGAGATCATGAGAAACTCCATAATGTCCCATTGTTTGAATCCCGTGTCATTCACTGATAAAGAGGGCTTTTATAAAAGGCCTTTTCACAATAAAAGTCCTTCTGAGTTCACCTACAATAACTGAAGTTAAATCCATGCCTTCAGGCAGTAAATTCCACAGCAGTGTCACAGCCAAAAGTACTGCATGTAAACCAGATAATTGGCTTTTGTTACTATTTACTTGTCTTTTATAAACGCCACACTTTCTCTATCTGTTACTATTTACTTGTCTTTTATAAACCCTGCACTCTCTCTTTCTCCTGATTGGTCAAAAAAAAAAAAAAAAAAAAAGCCAGTCCGATTAAAGTCTTACTTTGGCCACATTTTGATATTTATTCCACAATACTTTAGCTAACCTTTAGGATTTTGGATGTTTCCACTATGTAGCTTTTACGTTGCGTACGACACATGAAACCTGTTGAAAACTGTGAATCTGCCTCTGCATTCCTTCAGCCTGTAGATCAGTTCATAGCAAATAAAAAAAACAGTCCACTCCCCAGCAGCGAGGGGAAAAAGATCCGAGCCAGCAGCTTGATGACTGGTTTAGATTTACACCACCTTCTGCAATTTAAGCTGTTTTTCCACCTGTGTCACTCAGATTATCATCTGTACAGATCAACATATACACACACTGGAAATGTGGTCTGCTATCATTCAGACATAGATTTGTTATAACCCACCCCTGGTGTGAAATTCAGTGGGAAACTCAACCTCTTTTTCACCAGGCTGTAGGTGGAAATCAGGTTTTCCTTTTAGTTGCCACAAAATAACTAACAAAAGTTTCTATCCAACATTGTTTAAGTCACAGTTTCTCCATTGCCATGGAAGCATATGGTTTGTGCAGCATGACAATGTAGCGGAAAACAACAAAAAAACCCAATGTGTAGTGGTAGTTTTAGAGACATTTAAAACTACTACTACAAAAAATACTTTGACTTTGTCATTAATAAGTTCCAGTGATCTTTAATCTAATGTTGACGGTTGTTTTAGTTGATTCTGATCTACACTTTAACATCTTAGCTGAACTGTAGCGACAGGAAGGTCAAGGCTAACATTTAGACAACAGCTGGAATGACAGTGTCAGTATAATTAACTCACCCACTCTGGGATGAAGAAGATGTCAGGAATGGAGGTGAAGATCCTGCCACCTGTGGGCAGAACATCACCAGACGTGGTCGAAGCCATAGTCCCCAAAAAATGTGTGTGTGTGTGTGTGTGTGCACAGGTGTGTGATTTCCTTCAGAATGAAAGATTCTGCCCGTGTTAATCTGCCTTTTAAAAGGCTGGTTTCTCCTCTCCGTCTCCAATTGTTCCTCCTCCACTCCCTTCCTTCCTCCCTCCTCTCTGCTGCACCTACTCATCCATCCCTCTCTGCCTGAAACGACCAGTTTGACAGGTGTTTTTTTTTTTTTTTTTTTTTTTTAGAGCTTTGTTTGTGCAGCAAGGAGGATGTCTCTTGCACTCTGACTTGACTGCAGTTTTTATTTGATGATGTGTGTGTGTGTGTGTGTTTTTGGTGTGTTTTGTGTGCAGGCAACAGCCTGGTTTACACGCAACACAAAAACTGATGGTGAGGCAAGTAATGCACCGTTGATGTGAGGTGTGAATGAGCGTTGCACTGATCGTGGAGGAAACAAATAATTCCAAACCAAATTGGAGTGTGACTTGTTTGGGAGCTAGTGTTGATTTGTTTACTCCTAATTGGGTTTTTGTTTTAACCACGTTGATTCTTTGCAAACATTTAGATATTTTTATGCTAACATTTAACTTCATTTAAATTCAATTAAATTCCTTTTTTTAAACCTAATTGTTTGGGCACTGTACAGTCCATAAAACACTTAGTGGCCTTCATTGTCAATTTTAGGCACCCTTTGCTAACTCTTAGCTATCCTCATTTAGCTATCATCATCCACACCTTTTCTTTTTCTAAACTGTATCCTCTGTGGATATTAATAATATTTAATTTGTGCTAAAAATAGTTGCAGGATTTTGAAATCTCTGTGATATAGTAGTAGATCATCTGGGTGACTTTTTGCTACAGAATATTTTGAAAATTAGCTGCTTGAAAAGAGAAGCCTTACACAAACAAACAAATTTACAAATAGTCCTGTACGTAATTGTTCCACAGCGGTTCTGTCATTTAAACCTCCAGTTAATTGTGTTCTTGTAAATACTTCTTCTGATCGTCAGAGTTTACACATTTGTGTATTTTCAGCTCTTTTCCATCTCAAATCTACAAGAGCAGTACAGTTTGTTGTTTGTCTTGAAGTTAGAGTTTGTGGGATCATCTCCACAGGTCCGTCACGTCCAATCAGCTGCATCTGACCATCAGACAAAACTGTCCTCACTGATGTTTACTATCACTTTGTTTGTTTGAGTCTCCAAACAAACTTTAATGAGTTCAGCAGAAGCTAACAGGTTGACTCAAGGAGTGTCGGCATCAGTACAACAAAGAGTTTCTCCCTCAGAAAGAACAACATTCCCAAAAGGACAAACATGAAAGCTTCATTTGCAGACGGAGTCCCGGAGTAAAGGGTGGGGTAACTGTCCATTAAACTAGATTCCAAATGTGGAGAGAAAAAACCTTCTTAAGTCAGTGTTAATGGTTAATGAGTATAAATTAAATAACACAGTAACATTAATCATTATAATGCAATAAATGCAACTTCACACAAACATTATTCATTTAAAATGTGTTATGAGCCAACACCCTGGCCCAGGGGGTAAATGTGATTTTTAAAAGAAATCCCTTCTGGAAAGTTCTACTTCACCTAAAGAAACACAGTGATTAGTCATTAACAACATCCACAGACCTATCTCTCAGATCTGTGTGTGGTTTATTTTGACGACACAGCATTGACTGGACGGTGGACTCGGACCTGGACAGATGAAAAGACTTGACTGGTCCCAAACAATAGGTTTTGGCTCATTGTCTTTTGTGAGTTTTAATCCTTTAACCTGGAAACCATCAGTGTTTGTTTACCAGTTTCAACAACCAGCAACAACTGAACAAAAAAAAACAAACAGTAACGGCCTCGTCATTTCTTGTATTGTATTTTTTTGAAGTATTTGAAGTAACAAACAAGGCTGCTCGCTACGTTGATTTACATGAGATTTGCATGTTTTTGTGTTTGCGTGTGCGTGCACATTTTCTTCCTGGACAATCCCACTTTCCCCTTCTAGTAACTGCCACCTGATAAATATCTGTGATTCTTCAAAAACTATCCTTTAAATAATAAATCCTAGCTGTGTAAATGTTGACTGTCCAGTTTGCAGTCCAGATCTGTCTTCTGTTGAAAATACATCGTAAACAACATTTCAATGTATCAATATTTATTTATGTAAATGCCCAAACAGGCTCTAATTGGAAAACAAACTGAACATTTTTTTTACGGCCGCCCGATACTATCTGACATCCCTGATAAAACTGTAATACAATTATAATAAAACCAAAGTAAATGACGTATAAAAACAATAGAATATATTAAATGCTAGAATAAGGCTGAGTTGTAAAAAAAAACAAAAACAAAAAAACAATTAATTAAACAGTTACTGCTTTGGCATGTCTTATATTTTATTTTTTGTTAATTATTCTGTACTAAATTCGAAGAGTCAAGTGACTCCGACCCGACTTTATGGACTGGGTTGTGATCTGTGGCATGGCTACACGTCTCCCTCGCCCTCCGTCTTTTTCCCTCTCTCTCTCTCTTGGTCTTTCTTTGGAGTGTGAATATTATTACACATCTTGTTTTTCCACATTCCTGTGTGTTGTTGTCATGGTTACACTGCCGTAGTTACAAAAGGAACATTGTTTAATGTTGAGGCGAATGTTAAAAACAAAAACACTCAGAGTCGAGCTGAAAGAAGTTGATAATAGACATTAGAGATGTTCACAACAGAAACAACGGTTCTGGGAACCTGATGTGGACCATTCACCTTTTACCACTTCAACCTCAAGGGAGGCCGCGGCCCAGCAGTCATTGGGAGAGGCCAAGGTTGCACCTTGGACAGTTCTCCAGGTCCATCCCAGGGTCACATAAACAACCATTCACACTAACATTCACACTTATGGTCCTGCATGTTAATGGACTCGACGCTGCATCAGGACTGTAGTGGCTAACGTTAGCTATAGTGTCTGTACCAGGACTGTTGTGGCTAATGTTAGTTTTGGTGTCTGTACCAGGACTGTTGTAGATACCGTTAGCTCTGGTGTCTGTACCAGGACTGTTGTAGCTAATGTTAGCTCTGGTGTCTACAGCAGGACTATTGTGGTTAACCAGGAGGGCTGTTTGTACCATGAGGAAGTACCAGACCAGTTGAGCAGGAAAAGTAGGAGTTTACCAGGAATAGTAGGGACTGGAGCAGGAAAGCTGATCCAGGTGAGCTGCAGTACAATGTCTCAGTATGTAAACAAGCAGGTTTCATAATCCGTAGTCAGCGGGAAATGTCTGCACTGCATGTACTCTGAGTATTTACTGGTAAAAGTACAGTGATGGAAACGTATAGTCATTAATTTGCTGCATTTTAATTTAACGCAGTGGTTCCAATGTTTGGAGAGGGGATACGCTAGAGGACGCAGGAGGTCAAATTAATTTCTCTCAACAACAGAGAGTTTGGGAAATACTGCTTTAATGCTTCAGATTTGAATCAATCAATCACATCACATGATGGGTGTCGATCAAATCTGGGCTGTGGAGGCCGTGATACAGAAACTTCAATCAATCCCTTCAGTCTGAACCAGACCTACATGGTAAACTGTGCTACATGGATGGCTGCCACGCGTTTAGCTGATAAATATTTGCATTAAAAAGCAGTTGAACAGGTGTACTCAGTGACTGGAGTACGATTGGTCACAAGTCAAAGCCAATCACATCCTTTTAAAATGCCTTTGTAGTACAACTTCTAAAGTAATACTACTCCTTGGCTACCGTGATAGTGTTTATCAGTATCCAGATACTCGTTCTTAATGTTTGAAGTACTTCCAGTCACTATCAGTGTTTTTCGATGAACATTTCAGGGCTCGCTTTATGTAAATTCAGAGTACGGAGTAGAAGGAAGACTTCTCCTGTATTTGCATTGGTGTGTGTTCCAAAACTTCACTCAAATAATAGGCATTGTGTGTTGACAGCGTCATGTGTTCCCATGGCAGTTTTTGTAGATACAAGTACAAGCGTGTGTGAGTGTGTGTGTGGTCTTGCAAAAGCATCACAACTAGATCTGTAACAAAGAAACTCAAACCAAAGTGTGTATCTTTCAATGTTAAACACACACTTCTCTAAGAGACATCTTCAGCCTTTTGAAGGTCAAAGGTCATGTTGTGGTTTACGTGTGTTTGTCAGTTTGAGGGCTTATAGGCCCAGCCTTGTTAATGTGTCTGCCCACAGGAACTAGTTTTGGTAAGTTCTGTAATGTCGGTACTGTTGTGTGGTACTGTTGTGTGAAATAGATAAATACAGTATAGGGTGGAGGACACGTATGGATACCGTCAAAATACTAGTGATTCAAAATCATCTAAATTTGAACAAAACTTTGTTTTAGGTTAAGAGTTTTGAAAAGTTTAAGTTTTAAAGCATGAGGGCAAACGGTACCCTCTTGTGGCCATAGACGGCATCCAAAATGTTTTTGATCTATTATTCTCCTCAGAGTAAATGTGTCAAGAGATGGATTTCAGTTTTTAAGTCTGTCAGTTTTTTTGTGTTAAGATTTAATGATTTATTCTTCATATAAATGAATCGAGTCACTGATAAATTCCAGTGCTTTAATCCCAGATGAAAACCTCAAATGTATTTTCCTAAAGTCTTGAACTGGTGAATCATGCCACCACTTGATCACTTGATCCATGTTATACTTGAGAAAATAAAGTCTTTCACAATGTGTAACTGCTTCCACGCGCTGCGCTCTCTGGCGTCAGACTGATTGAACGGCTCTGAGTGCTGCTGAGCTTTTATAGCCGTCTATAAAAAGACGGCAGCAGGCTGATTATTAACTGTGAATGCTGCTCCACTGCCCCGTAACTCTACACTACACACACACACAAAGGCTGGGACACACATGAGTGAAGGTAAACTAATGGGTGGGGAGGTAAACACAGGTCAGGGACCAGTCATGTGAAACACTTACAGGTAAAACAAAGTTTTACTGGTGTCAACAAATTAAATAAATAAACGTACTACGACAAGAATGTATGGATCTTAAGGAATGACTGTTTTGACGTAGTTTGTCTGTTAGTTATCTTAGCTGCAAAAACTGTTTTGCAATTTCAAGGCAAACATTTAGCTACTCCATTTTATCTTCATTGTTCAACAAACTCTTTCTTATATATTCATGTACATTTATATACATATACATATATGTATACACATTTATAGCATATGTGTAAATATATTTTATGTGTGTATATTTATGAAATCTATGTATTTTTTAAATTTAATCTTTAATCTGACCGTATCTCTACCTGATGTAGAAATCTGTTTTTTTTTCTATTTTCTGGTAATGGTTGGTATCTTCTACACTAATTGTTTCCAATTTAATTAACCTATTTGTGCTTCATTGGTACATTATGACATAATTGAGACAATTTTTGATTTCTTCTTCTAACATCAGGCCCAGATTAACGCTCTAATCTGTCTATATTTAATCCCACACCCACCGTTCTGCTGCTGCTGCTGTGAATTAATGAACACCACAGAGCCACATAAATGTATCTTAGCTGTTTATTTCTTATATATATAAAAGTAAGACATTCTTTATCATAATTTATATTTCTAAAAAATACACACAATGTATTAAAGACACATGAAAAATATTTAAATGGACAAATATTTGTCATTAATAATTTACATTATTGACTCGGCCCTGAGTGATTTGATGTAAACTCTACTGTGCGACACCAAGAAGGTCAAAGTTCAGCTCTGTGAGGTCAAAGGCCAGATGCTGATGCGTGTGGTCAAAGAAGACTTCGGGACTTCCTGAAATGCCAGTGGTCTGCTGGACATGTTTGAGAGAATCCAAGGTGATGTAGATGACCTTTGCCCTTTGCTCCTCTGAGGCCGGGTCAGCCCAGCGGTACGGGGGCAGCGAAGGCGAGTGGAGCAGGAAGTAGACGGACGACATGTAGACTTTAACAAACTCCTGTTTGAGGAAAGACAGGTCTCTCTGCAAACACAGACAAGCGTAACAGTGTCAAGCTCTGTAGGCTATACAGAGCACTCTCTACTGAAAGAATGTGGTACTACACTACAAAAAAAAAAAAAAAAAATCCTCACCTTCTGTCCTCCTCATTCTGATCTCAGCCTCCAGCCAGGCTCCCTGGAGAAATACAGCAAACAGAAATGAGATCCAAAAACTAAAATTGTAAAAGTGTTACAGAAACAGGATGATAGACAGTTCTGAAATAACAGGCAGAAGTAACCAGTAATTAAAAGTCAAACGTGTAACGTTGTTGATAAAAGTCATGCACGACATGAGGTGAAAATAATATACCCTGAGAGCGTCCAGCAGGTCCGGTTGGTCCAACAGCACAGGGAAGGTGGAAAGAAATGGACTGCTGATCAGTTCTGAAACACACACACTCGTTTTATATATTTATATATATATATAATGGACTGTAAAGTGTGTGTTTGTGTGTGTGTCACCTGCGTTCTGCATGGTGGGCCTGTCCATCAGCAGTGTGTCGGCTAACAGCTGTCTGTGCAGAGCCAGCAGGTGGACACAGTTCAGACAGTGGAGCAGAGTTTCTGGAAGAAGACTGAAAAACACAAACAGATGTGATTGGACACTGAACACTGAAGGAGTCAGGGAAGTCTGTCTGTTTCTGTCCTGGTCAGGGGTCTCCTAACCTGAGCTGGGTTCTGGTCCGACTGTTGGTGGACTTCAACTTCACGATCAGTCTCGGCTGACGTTTGGCCTGAAGCATCTGGAAGAAGACTGAAGCTGGAGAGGAGAGGAGGAGATGGAGGAGAGGAGGTGAAGGTGATATTTAATTGTTTCACTTTTACTCTGGACTTGTTTCTTCTTACATCCTCTCCTGACTGAAGTCTCCAGTTCCACGTTCTTCTCATAGGGAGTTCCACCGTTCACCTGCAGCTCATAGGTTCTGTACACAGCAGAGGTTAAACTGATGCATAACATTCAGGGTCACTTTAATTATGACACAGTTACTCTGTGACTGTCCTTTTAGGTTTCTGCATAAAGAAATACTTCTGTTTGTTCTTAAAATAAATAGGCACACAGCTTACTTAACAAACAAAAAAATTCAGGCTGTTTTGATTATTTTTGTAGGCTGGTGTACGTCTACCTGCTGGGAAGTGAATTTCCACTGTCGTCGGTCAGTTTGAGGAAAGACCAACCGCAGCTCAGTTCTCCGCGCTCACCTGTCGACTACAACACAAAGAAAACCTTACTCTGGTTTGGTCCTTTTTTTTTTTTTTTTTTTTACAACATTCTCAGTTCGACGTTGTTGTTATTTCACCACCGTTATCGTGTGGATCGCTGTGTATTTGTCCTTACGTTCCGTATAAACGTGACTCCCAGTTCGAAGAGGATTCCGAGGTCAGGAGACGAAGAGCTGCAGCGAAGGAAACAGTCTCCGTCGAGGAGGCTGGGAAGGACGCCTGTCATCTGCAGTCAACGAATCCAACACTGGTTTTAGGAAAACTCATGTCTGGAATTATTTACAGAATTAAACAGCAATAAATTAAAAAAAAATACCCTCGGAGAGAAGCTCCAGGTTTTGGGGCTCTTGGGGTTGTAGGTTGCTCTCACCGTGTGGATGTTACTCAACACCTGAAACAAGAATTAGTACCAGGAACTGAACCAGTGCTAAGAACTGCAGGAACCAGTAAATAAATGAAAGCACTTGGACTTTTTCTTTGGTCCAAAATATTCTCTGCTGAGAAACTGGAGTCTTCCTGGAGAAATACAACCATCCAAAAAATTAGGCTAGTAATACTTCTGATACCTGGTTTCCATCAAAGGCACAGAGTCGGACGTGTCTGCTGAGGACTTGAACTCCGACCCCCGGCGTTGGAATCATCCTGCAGCTCCACAGAGTGAAACAAAGACAAGTTTGGACGTGACGAGCTCGGACCTACCGTTGGTAAAAACACAGATTTATTAAACTCTGAAATGTTAACGTTCTAATGTTTTCCATTAGACAAACACACTCTCTTACCCTGCCTGTCTCTACGTCCAGGAAGAGGTCTTTGAAGGAGAGCTGTGATTGGCTGAGAGAAGGCTGGACATGGTGACTTCCTCTGTACATCACTCCTAAGACACGAGACAAATATTTTCAAAATAGAACTCCTTCATGTTAAAGAAATGATAGACAGAGTGTGTGTGGAAAATAGAACTCCTTCATGTTAAAGAAACAGTCATAAATGTGTGTGTGTGCTTGTATTGACCTTCCTCCACCAGGAGTTTGTTGAGAGTTGATGGTCTGAATCCCGAAGGTATGGCACCCATGGCTGACAGAACATCAGTGGCATCAATCTGACACACACACACTCAGGTATGAAGTACAGTATGGTATATTACAATAATAATTTCTCCGTCATAAAGTCTAAAGTACACACGCAGTACACAGTGCAGTATTCTACATTTGCTGATCGCTTTCTGTTGATGACGTCACAGCTACAGTGTGGTACCGTTTACCTCAGTCAGAGCTTTTCTCAGCGTGGACCAGTTGGACTGTGGAGTTTTACTGTTGAAGTAAAGATACACGTGATTATTTTTGGATTCATCGCCAATAACAATTAACATAAAGATAATCTGATTCACGTAGATCAAGGGTGGGCGAACTTTTTCGGCTAACTGGCAAAAATTAGGTTCGACTAGGTAGCCTATCGCGCCCTAAGAGATCGTAAGAGGGGCCGTATTTTGTCCAGGTCTGAATCTAGATAGTGTTGCAATCGTGATTTATTGTTTTAACCGTTACTGTGTTCTAAATCCAACATCTCCTCGTTAGTATAGTGGTGAGTATCCCCGCCTGTCACGCGGGAGACCGGGGTTCAATTCCCCGACGGGGAGAAAAATGTTTTGATGGTTTTGTTCTCATAATCAAACGCTGAACAGAATGATAGCCGCAGAACATCGAATCATAACTTTCTTCAACAAAAGTACTAACAGACTGGACTTTTGTTGAAGAAAGGACCAAAAAAATAACACGGTTGAATCTATTGCCACCTACTGGTCATAACCAGTCCCTGGCTAAAGGCAAAAAAAAAAAAAAACTGATGTGAACAAATGACAGCAAAGATGTCAAAGTCAGAACCTCTGATTTTCCTGCTCGTCTGTCAGCTCTTCACCATAGTCATCTTCCTCCTCCAACGACTCCTCTTCATCATCATCTTCACCTTCCTTTACGTCAACATGGCCGCCGTTTTCATCTTCATCATTAGCAGAGTTCAACTGAGAATTAGTTGGGGAAAAAAACCCTTCACATTAACCAGTCTGTTCAAAAACTACATTTAAAAACTGGAGTCCAACATGACTTTTCACTTTAAAGGGGAACCATTTATTGTATAATATTGAATTTGTTTGGAGTTTTGGTTCACATATTTGTGTCTCGGGTTTCTGCCTCCTCTTTAAAAGCCGGTTTCAACCACTCTGATGACTGTGGCCCCACTTTTACTCGTACGCGACTACTGGACGGCTATTACGTTAGCACAGAACTAAATGAACAGCCGCCATATTAAAAGGCACTAGGAGTATGTTGTCATCTGTAACCACACGGGGGAGACAGTGATACTATTGTCGTTATGTATGAAAGGCGTGTCAGTAATATTTCATGGAGAAACAGATCGGTTTGCATAGAAAGTAGCAGATAACGTTTGTCTTAATATGGTCAAAAACTCGACATCAACATAAAAAATAAATTAAATATAGATAATTAAAGCGTAGTGTTGAGTGTGTGTACCTTCAGGTAGGTTTTGGGAACCACTCCTCTTTTGCCTTTGCTGTCCTGAGCGAGCCACCATCCGTCCGCTGCCCTCCTGACGATTCTCAGTAAATCACCTTTCTGAGAACAAACACTTCTGTGTCATTTTGGTTGAATTAAATGATGAGATGTCTCAGCAATAACAAAATGAACAAATACAGAACTGAAAAATGGAATACAATTCAATTATTGTTTTTACCTGAACAGACAGATCTCCATCCTGCTCTCCTTGGAAGTCACTCAGGACCTTGTAGATACGAGGGTCTGACTGAGAGGGTGGTTTGACAGCTAACTTTTCATCAACCTCGTCATCTTTGTCCTCATCTTCGTCCTCTACACTGTCTTCGTCGTCTTCATCACCACTATCTTCAGTCGAGATATTGCTGTGAAGACATTTTACAGACGTAAGAATGTGTCAGAAACAACTCTGCAATTTTCTCAAAAACAAAAACATGTTTTTGTCTTAACTGAGCACAGGTGTGACAGACCTAGCATCGGTACTTGGTCCCGGTGGTGAGAGCTCCAGGGACAGTGTGTTGAGACGATCCAAGATGTTCTGCAGCCGTTTCTCTTCCTCCTGTTTTCTCTGTTCATAGTTCCCAACCGGAGCCAGCTCGTCGGCCTGGGAGCAAATGGAAAACACACTTTTTTTTATAAAATAATCTGTTTGAATAATTAAGGATTGTACCATCACCTATGTTCACATCTGTCAAAACAAAAAATTAATGTTGATAACTAAGAATCTGTTAGCGGTAAGTTAAAAAGGTAAAGGTGTTAACCTTAGTTAGTTTCCTCAGGTTCCTCAGTGTCTTCTCTGCTGACATTTGCAGGTCTTGACATCTAATGAAAACACAGACATTAAATATTGTGTTTTAAAGCATTACAATAATCAATAACAATGTAAACAGAGTGACTTCGTAGCTGGTTAAAACTCGAGGTCTTCTGTTAAAGCGTTTTACCTTCGTAATAACTCTTCACTGGATCCAGCCTGACTGTGTACATCCTTCACCAGACTGTCAACCTGTGTTAAAGAAATCATGAAAAACGACCATGTTCAAATGGAGTTGCTTAAAGTCGAGGTTGAATCACATAGTTAGTTTTTTTTATTACAAAGCTGTGCATGACATTCTGTAAAATATCTAAGTCCTCTGAAGACTGATTCATGTCCTCACTGAGCTGCTGGCGTTTTTATTTTATTTTTAATAGAACATGGCACGTTGTTCTCACTACATCATAAACAATGACATTAAATATAGCTGGGAGCAAATGGAAAACACACTTTTTATAAAATAATCTTTTTGAATAATTAGGGATTGTACCATATCCTATGTTCACATCTGTCAAAAAGAAAGAAAAAGAATCTGTTAACAGTAAGTTAAAAAAGTAAAGGTGTTAACCTTAGTTAGTTTCCTCAGGTTCCTTAGTGTCTTCTCTGCTGACATTTGCAGGTCTTGACATCTAATGAAAACACAGACATTAAATATTGTGTTTTAAAGCATTACAATAATCAATAACAATGTAAACAGAGTGACTTCGTAGCTGGTTAAAACTCGAGGTCTTTTGTTAAAGCGTTTTACCTTCGTAATAACTCTTCACTGGATCCAGCCTGACTGTGTACATCCTTCACCAGAGTGTCAACCTGTGTTAAAGAAATCATGAAGAACGGCCATGTTTAAATGGAGTTGCTTAAAGTCGAGGTTGAATAATGCATTTGCATTTATACAATAATTATTACATAAATTAAAAAAATGAAAATTGCACCCAGTCATATGATTAACTATTCATAGATGTAACCGTTTAAACATAACTTATATACCTTTTATTTTATTTTAGGACTGTGGTGTCCACAAAAGGAGGGTTCAAAATGTTTTTTAATGGCTCCTTCTTTACTTTGTGTCTTGCAAAATTCGCCACAGTGGAAACTAACTAGAAAGTACAAATAGTACAGCATTCTTTAAATACTGCTTTATTTGCGCCGCTATATGACTTTAGAAGCCTCGGTCTAACTGCAAATATCTTCTATCTTTAGAATTGAAAGAATGACTAGTCCTAATTCTCCTGTAACGTCGCTACAAGAGCTATAAAAACATGATAATTTGATTTACTTGAAGGACAGTGTTGACAGATGATGTCAGCGAACCTGCTCTGATTTAAAGTCACAAGTTTAAACTTAGCAGCAACAGACGTACAGACAGGCGTCGTTTTTATTCAAACCTGCTTCTCTGTTTCATCCACTTCTTTCTTAGCAAGTTGAAAGGCTCCTTTTCTTCTTGGTGGCATTTATTAACGCTTCTATTTGGGCGTACAGTATCGGTCATTAGCTATTAGCAGCTAGCTGACGCTAAACTTCAGTTGTCGCCTGGTAACAGGGAGTCGTTTTCAGCAGCGCTCATTGTATCTAACAAACTCTACTGCCCTCTCCTGGATGGGAGTATAAACTGCGGCATGATAGTTTTTCAACGGGGAAAAATTTTGCAGTTTGGTCATTAGGCACATTTTTCACATTTCTATACATAAACTATATATTGCTTTATTGCTTAAAGTTTGACCAGTGGTCACATAATGTTATCCAACCTTACCCACGTGAGCTAGGTGCTAGTTGTTTTGAATTGTGTTGTGTTCAGGGTTATCTTTATTTGTCTTGCCTACTCCTACTATTCGCCGTCAAAATCGTATTCTAACCGAGATTAAAAATATTGTGTTTTAAATATGGGTTTAATACAAAATATATTCCGTGTGTTTAAATATTTTACTGTTACAAAACGCTATGTCGTATATAATTTTCTGTGATTTGACAAACATTGGTGGGAACATGAACGCGACAAACTCTCGTTACGTCACCCCTGTCATGGCGGCCCGCGTCGCCCTCATTCAGGGAGCCAGCAGAGGACTAGGGCTGGAATTTTGCAAACATATTTTAAAATTTAAACCCCCCGCTGTTGTTATAGCCACATGCCGAAATCCAGAGGGGGCGTCAGGGCTACGGGACCTGGGCGGTGAACACCCGGGAAGGCTCACGGTTCTAGGGCTAGACGTGAACCGGGAAGAGGAGATCCGCGGTGCAGCGGAGCGAGTCCGGCAGAACTTTGGTCGACTGGACCTGATGGTCAACTGCTCTGCGGTGCTTCACCCGTCGGGGAAGGGGGAAACCAGTCTGAGAGACGTCAGTGCTCAGGTAAGAAAAAGCTCAAAGCTAGCATAATAAAAGTGAGTAATACTTCATAGTTTGGACTTGTTTTCCAGCTTTACAAAATAAAGGTCTTTAGAGGAACATCATACTTGTCCTGGAAATTCAGTCAGATTTACTGACTAAAACAAATATAGTTTTATATGAAAACACCGAGGTTCTTCTTCTACTGTCAACAAATTATTGACAAAATTCCCAAATATCTATTCACAGTCATTTTGACCTGTTTTTATTCCACACTATTTATTTATTTAAAGGGCATCATTTCCACCTTCACGACAAACACAGTGGGTCCACTGATTATGGCCAAGTATTTTAGCCCCCTCCTTCAGAAAGGTGGGGGTGGTTTTGGTCATCAGCCTCAAGAGAAAGTCAAACAGCACAAAGGCATCATCGTCAACATCACCGCCAAAGTGGGATCCATTGGCGACAATGGTATAAATCTTAAAATTAAAAGAAATAATTTAAAAGTTTTAAAAATCTATTGAACAGTAACTTTACTTTTTCTTCTTCTTCTTCAGGTCTTGGTGGTTGGTACAGTTACAGAATGTCCAAAGTAGCATTAAACATGGCAACAAAGAATCTGTCCATCGAGCTGGGACGCAATCAATCCAAGGTAGATGTGTGCATTCACAATAGGTTTTAAAGAGTAAGAAAACTACACTTTCCTGCTTTCCTTTAAAATGAAAGGCAGTTAGAAACTCTGGTAAAAGATGATGAGAAGTTCAATTCAAGCCACTACAACTTAAACAATGTTCACTGAAAGCTGTTGAAACTTTTTTTTCTAGCCATTACAAAAACATTTTCACCAATGCAGATGCTGCAAAAGAAAGAAAAAAACACTACATTATCTCAAAGAAAATATCTTGCTTTGACTATATTATCTCAAAGAAAATATCTTGGTTTTTTTTTTGTTTGTTTTTACACAGGTGGTGTGCGTGTCTTTACATCCAGGCACTGTCAACACAAACCTCTCCAGACCGTATCACAAGAACGTTCCACCAAACAAACTGTTCAGCCCAGAACACTCTGTCAACTGCCTGATGAACATCATAGACACACTGCATATGGACAAGACCGGCCGGGCCTACAGCTGGGACGGGGCGGAGCTTCCTTGGTAGAAAAACAAAAATATATCAAGTGTAAATTTTCTCAGTATTATATAAAAACACTGTTTTAACTACCTCACCTCCTCACAGGAGTCTGCTACCTTTATTTTATAATTGTCATATACCAGAAAGTTCATTGAGATTCACAGAAACATTTCTGCTATTTAAATGATGACAGTATATTTTATGAATTTATAAAAATAAAAAAAGGCATTTGCAGAATGTTCCTTTTTTCCCCCCAGAAGTGTTAAAAGTCAAATTTCAAGGACATTTCTTCTCCAAGGGGAAAAAGAACATAAAAGAAAAGACTGAAGATTATGATTCTTGTGAATGTATTCTTATCAGGCAGAGACCTTTGTATCTTCCTTGTGATGATTATTGTTTGTGTCTCTACCTGGTAACAAAGAGCAATTAAGATCTGATTGCCTGTTGCTTAATCTTCTGAAGGGAACTACAAAACGATTTATATATATTTATAAAAAAAAATCTGTCTATAAATGTTTAACAAGTGGTGAATGAAGCTCCTGCTGTGAAACAACAACAAACACCTTTTGCATTATTTACTGTGTGTTTTTGCATTGAACCACAGTGTTTTTTTAAGTAAATGTTGACTTACATCAATTACATCAATGGACACAAAAGCTCAGTGTTAATAACATTGAACAATTTCTTGCCTTTTCAGTCAAATATTTGACTTTACATGATGGCGTGGAAACGATTAACATTAACGATTATCATTAATCCCTGAGACAAACTGCACAGTAGAATAATACACAACGTAAGAATGACCTACAGCACACAGGCGTCGTTAAAAAAAAGAACACGCACAAAAACATTGGTTTATATCGGTGAGACTTTTATGGCGAATAAACAGGAAAAGAAGTTTCACGTTACGGCTGGTTTCGTTGAAGCCGAAGAAAGAACCGGTCGGAGGAGGTGAACAGGTTCGGGTCTCGGTTGTCGTTTGGTTGGGTGAGCTGCTGTGACGTAGCACCACACACACACACACACCGATTGCTGCTGCTGCTGCTACGCCAGCCTGGATCGCTCAATGTGGGGAAATGACCGCGAGTGACCTCAAAGAAAACACTGGACTGTAGCGCTGCTCTCGTTTTTTTACTGTGCACACATTGGGTCATAAATATGTTTGGATTTTAGCTTAATATTTTCAGAGGGAATCTTACATTTTTACCTGGTAATATCCAGGCGTGTCGTAAGCCTCTTGTCGGGTTCTTTCATCGCTAAGAGGCGGCTAACACTAGCGGCTAACTACGCTAAGCTAACAACAGTCAAGTGTGCCATTATTTACAAGTGGATGCTAAACCTAGCGGCTAAATAGGTTAAGCTAAGCTAACAAAGACCGGGTTGTCATTGCTCCAGAGAGGCTAACGTTAGCGGCTAACCAAGCTAGGCGAAGTCGGGGTGTCATAGGAGGCCGCCGGGGCACTGTGCACTCAGCCTCCCGCAGATGCTGAACTAATTCAGCCGGGGCCAGCAGCTGCCATGGATAATGCAGAGTCAATGGTGGACAAGAAAGGAGAGTCGGGAACTTTTCATGTCAATAACGGGATCAACGGACACGTTGCGAATGGAGGGAGTTGTAGCTGTTGCTGTTGCGGCGGCGGCGGCAGTTCGAGCACGGGACCCGGCAACTGCTGCAGCGGTGTAGGCGGAGGCAGCGCGTTTGACAGCGTGCAACATCTGCACCACCACCACCACCACCTCGGCGGTGGCGGTGACGACGCGGAATGCAACGGGTCACCGGCTAAGAGGTGCAGGCTGCGGAGGAGGACCGAGTCAGTGAGGCGGAGCAGACCCCGTAAGTGTCAAGCCCTCATTCTGTAAACGATTGTGGTAAAATATGCACATTTTCTGACATATTTTGCGGAGGTGATGGGGGGTGAGGGGGGTGTTCCTAAAGCAACTCAGCCGCGGGTTTGCACAACCAGCGGGTGTTGCAACCTCTTTGAGCAACACAGCACGGTTTTTCCATTCTGTCATTTTAATAAGAGTCACTCCGTTAAGTGTTCGTTTGAAACAAATCGATTGAATTATCTATTTCTACTTCCCTCAGTCCTGTAGTCAGGGAGACCCTCTTTTGTGTTTATTAACCCTCGGGTCGCGCTGGCCGCGTCGTGATTCGTCGGTTCCTGGTGGTGAAAAAGCTCCTGATAAGTGGGTTTGGCTTGTCTTATCCAATCAGAGCTCGCCTCTCGTCCTCAGTGTTTTTTCTAACCACGCCTCCGTATTGACAGGGCTCTTCGGCTGAAGTGACTGCAGATCATCCTAGAAAATGTAGAAAAGTTTCAGCTTTCGTTGCCTCCCAGAGTCTTCACACTGGTTTTGATCACTGTACCTTCTCCCAGTGAGCCAGTTCTCTGTCCATCAGTCTAATTTACTGTGTACTTGTGTGTCAGTGAGCTGGTATTTGGTCGCATCATGAAGCTCGTGAGTGCAAAGAAACCCTCCAAGTGTGAGTATCTTTTTGTTTGTTGATTCGGTCACCGTGTCGAGCTATGATTTGATTAACAACGAAATAATTATCATTTAACTTCATTTATTATCATTTAACTGCATTCAGCTATTTAGTTGTTGTAACCAGTTGGGTAGTTGAATAGACTACAAATTGGACTAGGTAACCAATTGAAGAGTCTGAACAAATTTTCTTATGTTTGTTCAGAAATGTGTATAACATAAAAAAAAAAAGCCAGTGGGCGGCAGGACGTGTTCATCTCGGTTTTGCTGTTTAAAGTGTTTCAGCCCAGGTCTGACTGTGCAGAATGTTCCGTTTCATTCACAAATACATTTGTTGTCGTCAACAAAGAAAATATTGGCTGATAACCAGTGTTTGGTCTCAGTGTTTATACATTTTAAATTTTCCCCAGACATTTTTTTTCCTCTGCATTACATGGTTAAGTTAATAAATACATTTCTTGTGCAAGTTTTTTTTTTTTGCACCTTCAGTCTCCTCAGGACTAGGTGATATGTCAGAAAAGGTTGCTGAGATAAAATGTTCAAAGTTTTCCTTTTGAATTATAAGTTAACGATTCACCAGTGCAGTGTGATGGTGCAAAAAGAAAAAAAAAAAGTTACGTGTGACGGCTCAGGATGAGTTACTCTCTATTATATTTTAATGTTTTTTCCTGGAAAAATCCCACTGTGTTTTTTTTTATTCATTGAAGAAGTTCAGAATTTCTCTTGAGTTAAATTTTAGTTTAACTTGAGCTTAAGTTCCTCTGATCAAATGCAGAACTGTATTTCACACAAACATGATCTCCCCCTAACCCTCTATTATACATTGATAATATGATATAAATTAACCTAACTACTACTCCTTGCAGAACTGTATTTCACACAAACATGACCTCCCTCTACCCCTGTATTACATTGATAATCTGATAATATTAACCTAACTACTACTCCTTTGATTGTTGTGGTAATTCACAGTGGAATTCACAGGTTACAAAACCACGGAACGTCACATCCATAAATGCTGAAATGATTTTACACACTTTACGACCGAGGTATCCTTGGGTTTTGGCCAGTCGTGCTGATAAACCCTGATAACCCTGCGAGGAACTTTGGCTAGGTCCTTAAGGATAAAGAATAGGATGTTTACATTCAGGAGTACAAACCAGTACAGGACAATTTTCATATATCCTCGTTTAAAAGACCACAGCAATAATAACAAACCAACCTCTTTAAATTCTAGAAACGTTTTATTTCTTTTCTTTTTTTTTTCAATAAAAATACATAATAACAAACCAACCTCTTTAAATTCTGGAAGCCTTTTATCTGTTTTTTCATTAAAAATACTTTTTCGGTGGCTCTGACATCAGCTGTGAGTCTGTGTTTTGGACACAAACGACTAGTTCAGTGTTATCTCTGCGTCCTAATACTATCAGTATGAAGTGTAAAGTTTCCTCAAAGTGATTAGAAGACCCAGAACAACAGCGGCTGAGTGAGTGTGAGGTGGGTGGAGATCTGTTTCCTCATTGGTGTTTACATCACGGTGTTAGGTGTAGGTTGGATGTATAGAGTTTAGAGGCTTTGGTCCTGGTGCTGGACATGTTTGGATAACAGAACACGTCTGATGGAGAAGTTCACGTCACAGATAGCAGGCTGATATGATGTACACCACAGTGGTGTTCATTTAGAATAGATGATTAAGACTCTGGACAAACAACCTCGTTGCAGTATTTACAAGTGGACACTGGACATTGCATATTAATGAGTTTCAGTGGGGTGTGGGTGATCAGGGGGGAGGGGGAGAGTTGAGGGAGGAGTTATTCTGTAAATCAGTTTAATTGAGAGGATGTAACTGTGTGACTAATATGATCTGAATCAGGGGTCTCAATCTGCAGCCAGGGACCATTTCTGGCCCAGGAACTTTCCACATCGGACCCACAACTAGATGAAAAATGATAAATTTAATTTTGCACGTGATGTCATTTTTTTCAAATTTATTTTTATTGGTTAATTTGTTCATTCATTAAAATGTTTTAGTCTGTCATTAAAGAATATATACAAAAATATATATTTCTGTGCCTTGATGAACACTTCCATTGTCTTACATGGAAGTTTTAAAGCAATAAGACAGAGACAGTATTTTTAAAACGTTAAGCTGAATTGATAATAAGTCATAAAATAATACGTTATTTAAATAAAAACATGTTAATTTCAGAGTTAAATTCTTGCGGCAGGAAAAACCTGTGGCTGTAAATCCAGAACCAGGAAGCTAATCATTTTCTCCTGTAAACCTTTAGCACTGTGAAGTATTAACGACGAGACTAACACAGGGAGAAAGTGGTAAAAAAGTCAACCAGAACGGCAGTCTTAAATTAAAGGATCAGAAAGCCCAGACGGTGGAGTCCTGACGATGTCCTTACTGTTCCTCCGAGATCGGGTTCTTCCTGCAAAATATGGGCCGAGTTTTGGAAACTACGTTCAAAGAAAAAGACGTGCCTTTGAATATCATGCAGCCTCAGTATTTATTGTATACACAGAGTGACTAGCTGCTGGTGTACTCTGGTGTTATCAGCCAAACGTACTGTATTTGATAGTTGGTTCTGTCCTGTACTGTCCTGTGTGAAGCACACACACACAGACACACACACAGACACAGACATCCGCGCGCGCGAGACAGGACTCTGGTGAAGATTAAAGGTTGAACTGCTGCAAATTTATGACACAATAACTGTTGATTTCACACCGCTTTGCCGTTAGTGACCGTGGTCCGACTGTACATGCCCAAACACTGTAACCTCGGCAGGAGTGAGGAGTGACGGGCCGGAGAACTTTCACCCAGAAGTGCAGCAAACACTTTCAGTCGTCCGACTGCTCTTTGTCACACTGACCTTTGACCGCTCACCCCGTCTGTCTGACCGCCTCAACCTGTGTGTTTTAACTGGAGCCGCGGGCGCTCCTCCCGGGTCAGAGGAACCCGTCCCAAGTTTTGTAAATTTTGACATTTCATATGCAAAAACCAAACAATTTCTCAACCGTTTTATTGGAAAAGGTTTGACTACAGCGAACAGTGGAGAGTAAACATTGTTCAAGAAAGTCTGTGAGAAAACAGAGATTATTGAACATGTCAACCAATGCCGTTTCCTCAGGCTATTGTTATTGTTGCCGCAGAGTTCTGTTTAAACACCAGGGATTTAAGGAAATATTGATACACGAAAATATCGCCATCGTTGAAGGATCAGTAAATTTTCAAAATAAGACTTTCTTCTGTTGGTATCAGAGTCTGAATGACCTGTTGTTTTGTTGTCAGATCGTCTTTGAATAAAGGGACATGACTGGATTATTTTAGAATGAAGTCAATTAGTAAAACTGAAGTACTTTTTTTCCCACTCTGGACCTATGGACTGTCACTGGTCCCCGGACCGGGGTTTGTGCACCTCTGTTCTACAGCACTGTATCACTAAGCTGATTTCAAACCTGTTTGCAACATCAGACAAAGTGAATTTCATTGAAGCATCTCAGCTGATTCTCTGGTGTTGACAGAGACCAGAGCAGGTCAGTAGGTGAAAGGGGACCGTGACCAGAAGTCAAGCGTTGTTAGAAGACCTCGCAGACAGAAGCGCGTACTTAGGGAACGTGAGGATTTTGTTTCTGGGTTGTTTCAGTAGGAAATCCTCAAAGTCTTTTTACACGAGGCCCCAGGTGTCTCTCCCTGCAGCAACATGTTTTGCACCGAGGCGATACTGTAAGACTGAAGTACTACAGTGATAATTCAAGCTGACGTTGGGAGCAACGAGGTCGCGTCTTCTGTCACTCATTTATCAAAATGTCTTTGTCTGTGGATGCTACTCAACACATCCTTTATGTCTTTTTGTGGTTGGCATTACTGCAAACCCAGAAGGGAGGGAACTGAGAGAGATGGTTTGAACTGAGAAAGATGGTTTGAACTGAGAAAGATGGTTTGAACTGTGCTGTTGTTGTTTTTTTTATTGTCTGTGATTATTAAATGGAAATGTATAAAAGTCCTGGCTCTGGATTCTTAGGATTTTTTTTTCCGGTCCTTTGGTTGTAATGCTGGGTCCCAGCAGCTGAGCGGTCCAGACACTCATCCAACAAATATTGGCAGTGGACACATTCTTTTTCTGAATGCTGTCACTGCTCTCCTGTGCCACAGTCCTCTGGCTGGACGTTTGTCCTGAACAGTGATGTCATTGTTGTGAACTGGAGAAGCTGTGTTGAGTGTTTTGTCCAAATAAATTGTCTTTCGGTTTCTCCATTCAGGGTTTGTTATGAGAAATTGTCCTGTTCTTTCTCCCTGCCCCCCCTCCCCCCTCCTGTTTTCCACGTCTGCTCCAATTAGACCAACCATCTCCATGTCTTACTTTACTACACCCACGAGTACTGCTGACGACTGGCTACTATCAGGCTTGACACACATGTTCAGTGTGTGTGTGTGTGTGTGTGTAAATATTGTCTCTGTTACTTTAGGTCATACCGTTTGACGGGGGTGTAAGAAAATATTGATACGAAGATATTTAGTTTCACAATACAGTATTGATGTTCTACATCGCTGTAGATCGCGATTTTTTTTTTCTCACTAGTTCCCAGTCCAATATTCCTGGTGTTGGTTCATTTTCTTTTTCTTTTCTTTCTTCTCTAGTGATTCTTCTGCTTTCCACTACAGAAGTTAATTATTGGCTCTGGTCTATTGAATCAGTATTTTGTCTTGTTTTGAGTAGAAAAAAAAGTTTCCTTACCCTTCTGTCTCCTTCATCCTCAGCCTTCCCCTGGTTTGGCATGGACATTGGAGGCACCTTGGTGAAGCTCGTGTACTTTGAGCCCGTCGATATAACGGCCGAGGAAGAACAGGAAGAAGTAGAAAACCTCAAGTCCATCCGCCGCTACCTCACCTCTAACGTGGCCTACGGTATGTCGGATCGCTACTGCCACTGAAAGATTAGTGAGTGCCGGAATTTATCCACGATCACCGTCTGTCTCACAGGTAAGACGGGCGTCCGTGACGTCCACCTGGAGCTGAGGAACATGACCATGTGTGGCCGCACGGGCAACCTGCACTTCATCCGCTTCCCAACGCAGGCCATGCCGCTCTTTATCCAGATGGGACGGGACAAGAACTTCTCCAGCCTGCACACCACCCTCTGTGCCACCGGGGGCGGGGCGTACAAGTTTGAGAATGACTTCCGAACAGTAAGAATAAAGTTTGACTGAGTTTGTTGGTGAATAGTTTGCAGGATTGTTGCAACTGTCCAGTTAACAACAAGCATAGTCACACCATGTTTATACAGGGGGATGGGGGGGGTTCCATGATGGCTCATGTTGTGACCTTTGACCCAACCCGCTCCTTCTTCTCTACAGATGGCCGACCTGGAGCTGCTGAAGCTGGACGAGCTGGACTGCCTGATCCGTGGGCTGCTCTTTGTGGACCGGATGGGCTTCAACGGACGCACCGAGGGCTACTACTTCCAGAATCCGTCGGACACTGAGAGCTGCGTGAAGAAACCCTGCACTCTGGACAACCCTTTCCCTATGCTGCTGGTCAACATTGGCTCCGGGGTCTCCATACTGGCCGTGTACTCGCAGAGTGACTACAAACGAGTGACTGGGACCAGGTGAGGAGGAAAGAGGAGGCGTGAGGGAAACCAGTTCTCAGTGTTTTCTTTGTTCTTCTTCTTTTGTACAAACTCACAGTTTCAGCCACTCAGTATTTAATTTTTTTTGCCACAATCAAAAAAAAATCCTGGCTCATCTTGTCTTTTGTAACTTCTGCTCACAAAACTTTATTGTGTTGCATCCTGTTTATTTTTTGCTGCCACCTCCTGGCCTGGAGTGTGCAGTGTCAATCATCGTCTAAAACATCACTCTTGTAGTTTTCCTGCGGTGATGGCAGCCTTCAGAAAATGTTAACGTTTGACTTCCATCGTTCTGATCGCAGTCTCATAATCTGCGGTAGTTTTACGACGAAGGTGAAGGTTTAAGGAGTACGAGCCTTTTTTACAGCCTGAGTGACGACGTCTGGTTGGACAAACTCGGTTGTTCGTCTTCCCGCCCAGTTTCTTCTTATCGCTTACCTTTAGTTATGATGTAACACAGGATGATGGCTGTGATTATACACAGAACGTCTGTCCAGTCTGAGGTTCAGTCTGAGGTTCAGTCTGAGGTTCAGTCTGAGGTCCAGTCTGAGGTCCAGTGTGTTTAAAATTATTTTAATAAACTGTGAATCATGTCCAGAAAGGTGACTTTTAATTAAATTTAGATTATTAATTTATTAATAATTATTAGTTAACGTCAACTGTAAATATTCCACCAATAACATGTAGTGACGTCTGTCTGTCAGGAGGAGCGTTAGCTGCTTATTTCCATGTACAAATATCCTAATTATGTTTAGCAAAGCCAACGTTCTCTCAGCTTAAAGTTAAAAACATTTTCATGTCAGTCAAAAAACTGTTTATTCTTCGTCATCAGCGTAAACAAACACACAGTGTTAGCAAATAGTACCGGGAGAATCAGTCCAGGTTTAGACCAGAACCTGGTCCGTCCTCCTCCACCTCTCGTCCACATCTTTGATCCTCTCCCTCTCTCAGTCTCGGAGGCGGGACATTCCTGGGTCTGTGCTGTCTGCTGACGGGCTGCGAGACGTTCGAGGAGGCGTTGGAAATGGCCAGCAAGGGCGACTCCACCAACGTGGACAAGCTGGTGAGAGACATCTACGGGGGAGACTACGAGCGCTTCGGCCTGCAGGGCTGCGCCGTGGCGTCCAGGTGAGTGTCTGGCGTCTGTTACCTGAGGATCACGCACACGCCGTACCACGTCCACGCAGGAAACACACTGAGTGGGTTTAAATGAAGTTCTGATTGCAGTTTTGGTCACATGATGTGCAAAGAGAAGCGAGACAGCATCAGCAAAGAAGACCTGGCCCGAGCCATGCTGGTCACCATCACCAACAACATAGGATCCATAGCACGGATGTGTGCCGTCAATGAGGTAACACACACACACACACAGTCCATAAACATGCAGGGCTGGGGGTCAGCAGCAGAGGATGATTGACAGGTGGTGGTCAGAGCTCAGAGTGTCTGTGTGCTGTGAGCTTCTTTACAGTGTTGCCTTGTTGGAATGGGGATCAAGCAGCATTGTACAGGGCTATCACTGCACACAGAGGTGCAGCGAGTACATACACACACACATGCACACGGATCAACTCAGAATTGTTCAGGAATCTTAATTAAAAAATATTGATAAATATATATATGTATTTTGTATATATTTTATATATATATTAATTATATTAATAAATATATAATTAATTATATAAATATAATATGTACAGTATATATGTATATATATATATGCATATATATGTGTATATATACACAGAGTATATATGTCACAATACAATTTTACAATTTTTACAAAGGACACTGTACTGTACAGTATTTAAATAAAACCAAAACACCAATGTGATTGTTTGAGACTTCCCCACAAATTTGAGGGATTGTCTGTCGTCATCTGACACCACCTAGTGGTTGATAATTGTCATTTATTTTAATTCAAATTTAATCCATTTTTTTATTCTTGCTGTTTTAGTCACTTCAGTTCAGTTTGATCCTTGAGTTGGACAGAAATATTAATGAAAGCCCATGAAATTAATGGAATGACTGATGAACAGAATCATCAACAGATCAAAACACTGAACCTTCTCTACTTCGGGTCTGACCTCGTTTTTCTTGTTGTGAACTTTATAGAAAATTGAACGTGTTGTGTTTGTGGGGAACTTCCTTCGTATCAACACTGTGTCCACCAAACTGCTGGCCTACGCCATGGACTTCTGGTCCAAAGGACAACTGAGAGCCCTCTTCCTGGAACACGAGGTGAGTACTTTGTACTGTGAAGGGTATTTTGAGTGGCTCCAAACACAGACCGAACTGTGAAACCTCTTGTCGTGAGCTTTAAAATAACCAAACTAAAGTTGGCAAATAGATTAAAACTAAAGAAAGACATAAAATAAACTGGTTTTATATATCTTTAAAAAAGGAGAAAAAAAACGATTAACAAACCTCGCAGTTTTATGTCAGGTTTAAAGCAGTCGATGGTTTGTCGTTGCAGGGTTATTTCGGAGCAGTGGGGGCGCTAATGGAACTGCTCAAGACGTCAGACGACCTGTGAAGGAAACCCAGTGACGTGATGTCACCGCCCCGGAAGATGTGATGTCATCGACTCCTGACAATTTCTACGCTGCTGAAAGGTCTCGTCGTCCGAGGCCTCTAAAGAGACACTTAGAGAGGAAGTGGAAAAAAAAAAAAAAAAAGAAGCCATTTTAATAATTTAACACCTTGTGTAAATAGTGATTACCTCTAACATTTATTGTCTAAATGCCCCACATAGACCCAGAGGTTTTAATATTGTACATTTTTAATTTATGCTTTTATTATTTTGTTGTTTTTGTTACTGTACGTGTGTGTGTGTGTGCGCATGTGTGTGTGTCATAACTACTGTAGCATTATGTCCTCGTGCAACACTTCTCTGAGTGAGTGTCTGTGCAACAAAGGAAGTTACTCCTGAGTAACAGGGCATTTATTTTATTTTTTTATTTTTCTTTATTTATTTTTTTTATTTTTATTTTCATTTTTTTAACCAACAGGGACACACGTGCACGAGTGGAGGTGTGGCCGGAGGAATGCACAAAAACAGAGACGTTTCCGCTCGTTTAGTTTTTTTCTTTGTAACGTGCACTGAAGCCAAAACCAGAGGAGATTTTTTTTTAGAGATTGAGTTTTGAATCGCTGTCGCTGCGTCAACGTCCGCTTTTCATTCACAACACTATCTGTAAACATTTAAAACAGAACACCAGTGACACCACGACGAACGACATACTGAGACGCTGTAGGGACCACGGCGATGTCTTCCAACTGTAGACTCTGTATGAAGCGGACGTCGTCCTCATGGTCGAGGAACACATTCCTGTTTTGAATCCTTGACTTTTTTCCTCTTGCTTGTTCCAACCAACCTCCTCCTGGATCGTACCAACAACACTAATGTGCCATAATCACACACTGTAATAAAAAAAGAAATGGACGTGAGGGAAAAGCTTGATAAAAATTTCCACCGTTGCTTTTTGGAATTGATGCAACCTGAGAGAAACCTCCGGAGTTTTCTCATCATTAACTGTTTCCTTGAACGTTGTTTCTCTTTTCCGCTCTCTTTGTGTTCAACATCGAACTCCGATCGTATTTAGAGGAAAACAAAAGTGATATGACACTACAGCTGGACCAATCAGAAGAGTCCTATCAGTATCACTGTTCCCAGTGTTGACCATAAGGTCCTCATTGAGATGTGAAAGGCAGTAAAGTCATGCTCTTAAGATTTTGGAGCCCCCTAGTGGTAGTAAGCACTCAAAGACAACGGCCTGGTGAGGCAGATTTCCCATGCAGTTCTATGCAGTATTTAAGTTCTAACATCAGTCCTCTAAAATGTTAACCAAACAGGACTAACAGTAAAGGGACCTTCTGTCCAAATTGTCCACTTTTGGTCCACTTCTGGTCCACTTCAGCTCTGTCCACACTACATCTACAGCATCGTATCAGAGGTTTTGGTTTAGTTGGATGGATCTGAGTTCAGACGAGACCAGACAGGGTCCACGTGTGAACCTCGTACTACATTTGTGTCTTCATTGTTGACTGACGTTGTTTTAAATGTTCCTTTAATCGGTTCCTTCTCTGGAACACTTTAACATTCTGAGAAGTGATTTTACATCGGTACTTTTTTATTAGATCAAATTCATTCATGATTTTACTGTTGTTTTTAACACACTGGTCAGTTTTGGGTCACCACAGTGGTGCTCCACCTAGTGGTTTGGCAGATATTTTACACCAGAGGCCCTCCATGACCCAACATTGGATCTGAACCTTGAACTTAGGAGAGGCAGGTGGCTGTTTTACCACAGCACCACTGCACCCCCTAGTGGACTAACTCTGATACTGTGCATGGGAGTTCCTCTGTTGTCTCTGGAACTGAAACAGGAACTTTTATCAAAGACTTGACTGAGCGGAGTGGCGTGTTCTGACTGTTCAGGAAGGACTGGTACTGTT